TTAACTTGTTGCTTATGTTCTTCTATGTCCCTATTATTGGTTGTTAAATACATTATGGTAGTTCAGGGATTGGCAACCCCTGGCACACATGCCATTAGTGGCACATGGAGACATTTTTCCCGGCACACTGGGAGGCATGCAAGGAAACTGTTCCGATTTTTTCTTTTTTCTTTTTTTTTAAGTTGCTGCTCTGGGGTCTCCCATGCAGCCACAAGTCCCCACCCCACATCCAGTAGTGCATCCTGCCATGTACCCCGCCCCTTCCTCTCCCCCCTCCCCATTTTGTTTTTGTGGCATGTCAGCACTCTGGCACCTTACAAGGTAGACATTGTGGGGTTTTTGGCACTCCTGCCAAAAAACATTGCCTAGCTCTGTGGTAGTTGCTTGGCTTGGCAGCTTTGAAACATTTGACATAATTAGTAAAACTATTCAACTAAGAGGTGAGTATTGACTCAAATGATATGAAAGTAAGAATGTACTACTGAGTATTGAGAGGTAATTAATCTTGTGAGGCAAAAACAAATTAGCTATGTATTGCACTTAACTGTACACAATGGAAAACTAGTTAAAGGTAGTTGAGGGGAGGAAATTCTTAAGGAGGTCTATCCTAAATTGTTTATCAGAGAGAAATCTCACTCCTATAATCTGCCAGTCATCTAGGTTCTTACAGCTCCCTAAGTCTTGACTGAATAACTGCAGGTGTTGGTTGAGAATATTTTTAAAGAGGGAGCCCCAACACATGAGGCAGTACATTAATGTGGCCTGAAGTGACTCCTTTCTTGGCCTTTGCATGCTTTTGCGTACTTGCTTCCTATGAAGATGCTGCCCAGCTATGTATAGCTCATGCAGCTTTTTACATGAGTAAATCCTGGGGATACGACACGGCGTAGTGTCATTAAAAAGAAACAAATAACAACAAGTGACAGCACATGAATAAAATATCAATTTCAGTGAAAGCATTTTGTTTTAAACTTTTAATTTGATTGGGACTTTGGCAACAATGTAATGCTTGTTGAAGACTCAGATTTATAGTATTTATAGTATCTTTAAAATGTTACCTTAAGGCAGCAAATCTTCTGGTTTATAAGTTAATAACATTCAAGCTTTAAAAAAAATCAGATTAAGTGCTTTCAATGTGAGTAGTAAAAGTATTTTTTTCACTTTGTAATCTTTACTTTTATGCCTGCCAATATAGTCAACATCTGTGGAAATTCTTGGAGGAAAGTGGGGCTTCAGAAGCCAATAATGGTTATGGACTACAATTATTGGCCATGATAGATTATTCAAGAGTTGGGAAAAGTACAAAATTAGTTCTTAGGTGAGGAGCTCTCAGGAACTCAAATCAGTTGACTGGCTAGGGAGCACTCAGGGAATTAACCACTTTTCCTGCCACAGAATGTATCGTGATCAGAGAATTAACACAGCAGCTGTTCACCCCCCTCCTCCTTTAGTTTATTAGAGCAGTCCTACTGGACTTTGACCTTGACAGAGGCACTAAACAAATGTAATTCCCAGATGCAGTCCCTGATTGGTGATTGCTCTGAAGCAGTTATGAATAGAAACTTTGATTTGTCATGTCTTTAATGATAAACTGCAAGAGAAACTTTAATTTGTCATTGGCTTATTGACCTAAGAGGAATCAGAGAAATGCAACTATAAAAAAATGTAAGGTGCAAGATAAAAGTAGTAATTACAATGCCAAGTAATTATAATTTATTAATGCTATCAGTTTATGTCCATGGGAATGGAATACAGCAAAAACCGTGTTATCCGGCACTTTACCAACCGGAAAGCTGCACTAACCAGCACCTGTCAATACAAATCGTCCTTCCAAGGGACATAGTAAAAGCAAAACCGGATGTCACACTTCCGGTTTCACCGCCGCGAGCCAAATTCCACCTCTTCCTTGTGGTCCACGGCCTGAGGCAAAGAAGCCTGCGTGGGGCCCCCCTCCCTGTCCCCCAACACACTGGCATCAGGGAGTGAAAGCCCTGGTGCACTGGACACGGCCTATTTGATTAACCGGCATATTTGATTAACCGGCATCCCCCATTCCCAGGGGATGCTGGATAACAGAGCTTTTACGGTACTTGGCTATATTCACATTTTACTTTCAAACTAGGCCGATGTTGATTTTTCCTAGCTGTGGGAAATGTATCCAGACCAGCATAGTCTATAGCTACCCACCCAAGCTAACTTTATAGTAGCTCATTTAGGTACTGATAGCTATGTAGCCACATCCATGCAGAACTCAGCGATCACAAGGCAGGGTAAAATAGATCTTGAGTCTTGTTGCCTCTCAGCTAGACTGCTTCTAGTGCCTGAGCTACCTAGTTTAATCTAGCTTTGATATCTGACTCTACACTGCAGTCTATGGCACAGACATACAATGATTTCTATACAAGAGTATTATTAATATTTGCATTCTGGAAGTAGTTTGAGGCCATGTACAGATATTCAGTTTCTCCTGGGAGAGTTGCTGCTCTCCCAATAGAAACCACAAGTGTATAGGCATTCAGAATTTTTCTCCCAGAGCAAAAATTGCCACTCCAGGAGAAAAGTAACCCAGAAACAACAAAAGGGTTAAATGGCTCCCAAGAGCATTTCTCCTGGGATAGTAAATGTCTGTATATGTACTTTTTGAGAGAAGCTGCAGCACAATCCACCAGCATCCTGGTATGCTTTGTTCATAGCCATCTCCTTATAAGTCCAGGGAGACAGTGTGTCACTCAAGCTGGACTCTACTGCTCCAGCCAAGCAGGAAGCCCCTTCACAGTCCCCTCATTGTGCTACAGCAGGGGTGGGCAAAATATGGCTCAGACATCTGCTGCGAAGACCAGTCAGCCAGGTCTGACCGCTCACGTAGGTTCTTAGAC